GTGCCGGCAGCAGCCAACCCTTGATTATCTGAATGTGTTGGCAGCAGCCAGCGAGCAATTACCCCTTGATTATCTGCATGTACTGGCAGCAGCCAGCGGCAATTACCGCTTGATTACCTGAATGTGATTATCTAAATGTGCTGGCAGCAGCCAGCGAGCAATCACCCCTTGATTAATATATGAATGTGTTGGCAGCAGCCAGCGACCATTCACCACTTGATTATCTGAATGTGCTCGCAGCAGCCAGCGAGCAATCACCACTTGATTATCTGAATGTGTTGGCTGCAGCCAGCGAGCAATGACCACTTGATTATCTGAATGTGTTGGCAACAGCCAGCGAGCAATGACCACTTGATTATCTGAATGTGATGGCGGTTGCCAGCTGACAATCACCGCTTGATTATCTGAATGTGCTGGCAACAGTCATCCCTTGATTACCTGAATGTGCTGGCAACAGCGAGCGAGCAATTACCCCTTAATTATCTGCATGTGCTGGCAGCACCCCAGTCAACCTTACCTGTAATCGCCTGTTCGTTGAGAACGTCTGGGACATTGTCCTATCTTGTTTTCACTCACACATACACAAGCAACCGCCATAGCTACCGTTGACCGTGACCAGCACTGAACCATAGCACCTCGGGAAGCGCTGCCGAAATTTCTGCAAATCCAAGGAGTTACACAAATCTTTGACTTTCAAGAGTTCAACTGACTAAATCATATATGGCTTAATACAAATATGGAAAGTCTCCCTTTCTAAAGGGAGTGCTGCCCAAATTTTTTCCTAATTCAGAGAGTTTTACAAAATTGAGTTTTAAAAGGTCAACAACTATTCCTGTTTCTATATTCAGGCTTATATAAATTCTGGAAGACATTTTTCCTACGGGAAGCGCTACTGAAATTTCCTTAGTTTAGAGGAGTTAGATTATATTATGACAGGTGGCAGAGTTGGCAGTCCACTCTGTATAGGGTAAAACCCATCCAAAGGTCTACCTTTTCTTTGAGCCCTTACTTAGGACTATGCTCGGACCTAGTTGGCTACCAGAAGGTTAGATGGGACCACCATATAGAAGATAGTTCGCATAAGGCTTACATGTTTAGTCTTGGGCGTTGACCTGTTTTGTGTTATAGGTCAGCTTGGTCGATCTGATTCAGGACTTGGACTAAGTCCAACTGATCTCTTGAGGATCATCTGTTGTTATCATTGATAACAGGTCGGTTACCGATTCTTCGGTCTACGACTCAATTCCTACTCGCTCCCCATACTCAACCTAAACGGCTTTGGTCCTGGTGATCTTTCTGTTTGTTAAGGGTTTTGCCCGGACTTTTATTGAATGGCCATTTAACAAAGGTACTGAGTATTTAATTAAGGTTGGTTGGCTGGAGGTTGGGGTTTGCATGGCTAAGGCGAGGGGTATGAGTATAGGAACTGATTGGAGTTGACTCCGTATAATGTGTGGACTCTTGTGTGACTTTTGATGTGATTGCAGGTATGTTCAGTGGCTTGGGGTTTCGGTTGGACTGCGTTGCGGTCGCACATATAGGTATGGCTAAGAGGAGACCCACTATGATTGTGAGAAGTGATCGTCACATAATTATTTCCCCTGTGCATATGTATGTGCGTGTGTATGTGTACCTACGTGAGGAATTAGCGCGGCCTAAAGTGCCCGCGCAGTAAGGGCCCTGAGCCTAACACGAGAGGGGTTTTTTCTTTGATAAACGGTAAAAGTACTTGCTTCCCTTCCTTGTTGCGATTTATCTTGGTGGAACGATAAATTTCCGGGCGGAAGGGTTAGCGTGCCGCTGGTGATGCACCAGGAAACTCACCACCGCTCCAAATTCCTTCCTGCCCTAGGGACCGTCTTACCCCGCACCCTCTGGGACACCTCAGGGTGCAGAAGACGGAAAGACCCTCAGGCCAATTATGCGCCTGCTAAAAGGTTACCTCCCTTTAGCGGGCGCTTCAGCCAACGCCTGAGCGTCGGAGATGATCCCATGGCTAAAAATAGGCCGTTTGGATATGGGCACCACATAATGCGCCTCCATTGCAGTTACTCACGTAGAGCTGCATAGCGAGATAGTATATGTAAGTCCAGCATCCTCGCGATCTTATATTAAGTGCGCGCGCGCACCGCTCGTCTCACCCCGTACCAAAAGAGTTATGGGTCAGGTGGCGAGACCACGAGCGCGACACGGCCAATAAACTTGGGACTTTGGTAACGTGAAGCGGCGCGTGGGCGAAGGACTAGTCCCGGTCGGCCTATGGGAGTCCGCGTACGGGCCTCATTATCCCGGACGCCGGATTGTCTATAGGTAGGATACCGGGCCTCCTCCGTGCGCGCGTCGTTTGGGCTTGTCTACCCCCTTCTATTTTAGAAGGCCACCAACTAATGAAAGTTGGGATAAGTTTTTTTTTTGAGTTTTCTTAGTTGGACGTTATAGTCCGTGGCAGCCGTCAAAGTCAAACCCCTTGATATTCGACCGCCACGACAGCTTGAAGTTGTCTACTCAACCCCTCTGCACAGGGTGCAGAAGAGGGTGTGGTCTTCAACCGCACATGGCGGTTGTGCGGCGTCGAGAGATTATCCCTCAAGGCGCTTGTCAGCCGACACCTGAGTGTCGAACGCGACCCTCGAGATTGACGAGGGCCACGTGAGTATGGGTACTACATAGTACGCCATCATTGTGACCGCGTGCGTACGCTTGCATTGCGAATCAATTGGAGTAGCCCCGCGTCCGCGCGATATTTATACTAAGCCTCGCACGCGACGCCTATCCAATTTCCGCGTCAGGAAGTTATGGGACGGCTACCAAGGGGCTAGGAGCGTTGTCACATTGTTTGTATCGTGTCGTGTCATGTATGTGTGTGTGTGCGTTCCCTTTCGTGTTTGTAGAGTAGTGTATGCGTGGTGAGTGGGATGCGTCCTAGTCGACCGACGACGAGCCGCACTTGGGACTTCAGCCCCCCCAAGATGTCGGTTCGCGTGCGGGTCCGATGGGCGTGCTACCGCGCGTACCCCCTATGCTACAACGAACGAGAAACGCTCGTGTCTGGTCCACCTCTGCGATTGCAACCGAGTAGCTTTCGTACTGTGGACTGGTAGCTCGGCGGGGATACGCCCACCGAAGGGAGGTGACAGCTCCCGTAAGGTGGAGGTAAGCTGTGCCTCGCATAGGCCCTATCCTGTCGTAGGGGCTCGCGAGAGGTATGACTGGTGCACTCGACCGGAGCGGCCTAAGGAAGCTCCATTTGTGTGTTCATGACAAGGTTAATCCAACTCCTGCGTGACGCGACCGAGAGGGTCCCGCGCTGCCACGAGCGGTGTCGGACCGATGCGCTCGACAGGTGGCGCCGTTGCCGACGATAACGGAAGCCTACCGTTGTCCCTGGTGGAACGACATCCGGGTACGAGTGAGAAAATAGGCATAAGAGAGTGATAAGTGTGATTGAAGTGAAAGGTAAGTGATGAGGGACTAAGTATAAAAAGGGGAAGTTAGCACTTGTATATGTATTTGGTTGTCTGCCCGGTCCTAGCGAGAGCGTAAAGGGTGGTAATACTCACGTCAAGGGTGAGGCTAGGTAGGAGATGCGGGTTAGACCAGGTTGGAGTAGGATGCTAAGTAAGTGAGTGCCTTTGGTTTTCTCTTAACAGGAAGTTGGAAAAGGAGACCTACCAAGATGCCGGAGGATGGTGGCGCTGGAAGGGTCCAGACCCTTGAGGACCTCATCGCAGCCCTAGATCGACATGAGAGGACCCCGAGTAATATTCCAAAGGTTGAGACCTTCCACTTTGATGGGGAAAGGGTTTCAGACTGGCTAGACTTGGTGGAGCAGGCAATGGTGGGATTGTCAGATGAGGTGAAATTCCAGCGTATTATGAGGTACGTGCTCCATAGGCACCATTAGGAGGTGCAAAAGGTTGTGGATGCCGCCCATGGCAGTTGGGCAAGATTCAGGGAGAGCATGCTGCGCAAGTATCGGTTGGGTGATGGGCTGCTTACCATCTCAGATCTTGAGGGAATGAACAAGGATGACTTTACCACGATAGGGGCCTTCGTACAAGAGTTTAAGAAGAAGGCAAGAAAAGTTCACGGGATCTCTGAGGAGAGGCAATGCGCTATCTTTCTGGGGCTGCTCACTGGGTCAGAGGCATCCGAACTGACGAGTCATGGAGCAGGCAGCGCAAAGCTTACATGAGCCACCATTGAGAGAGGAGTGGAGGATGGGAGTTTAGACCAGGTGGAGCAACATCAGATGCGCCTGGAAAGAAGGAAAAGGAAGGAGAGAGACGCTACTACATCGGGGACCCCGGGAGTAAAGAGGATCGTCACTGATGTACTTGCGGCGTTAGGCTACGGCCAGGATGCCAAGGCTGAGGAAAGGAGGTGGGGGATGAAGGCGCCGGGCAGGAGGATTACGGCGAGGAGGAGACGGGATCGCAAATCCTTACCAAGGCCCAGCGGAAGCAACGCAATCTATTGCTCGGTGACCAAGGTCTGGCAAAGGGCAGGTCCCCCAGGCACTTGCCGCGTCGCCGGCGGCCGCCGTAACCACTCCCGCGCCGGCAGGGACGACACCAATGGGGCCGCCTCCGGCCTGTGGACATTGGGTACCGTACTGTCAAGCGGCGCCTTGGCCTAGCTGTAATCATTGCACCGCGTGTGGAGGGGGCCAAACCCATACTGGACAGATGGTTCCGTTTTCGGGTCTGTCAACGAGCACAGGGCCGCCAAGTTTCCCGGCGGCGCAAGGCCAATTCACGACCCAGCCTCCCCCCTCACAACAAGCATCGCAGGCTAGTGTGGCGGGAGGAGGAGGCCAAGGGCAAGGAGGACAGGGCAATGGTGGTAGGGGACAAGGAGGCCGACAGGGTGGCGGACGAGGCCGAAACGGCGGGGGACGTGGCGGTAGATGAAACAGCCAAGAGGGCCAGGGCCAAGGTGACCAGGGCAGTCAACAAGGGGGCCAAGGGTATGGGAGACCCTGCTTTGACTGGTGGAACGCGACCTGCTGGCATTGTGGCATTGTAGGCCACACGATTCGGTTCTGCCAGCAAAGGCGGGATGATGAGCTTGCGGGCCTGATTTCCTCTTGTATGGATGGAGATATATACGACAAGTGGGGGGAACACATTGACCCCAAAACTCCGGGAGGGATCAGTCAGGAGACCCTTAGGCGGGCGGCGGCAGGGCCATCAGCCGCCCCGGCCATGTTTAGAATGTGGCAGGAGAGAGAAGACCCGACCATAAGAATTGAAGAGACCACGGGGGATAGTGAGGAGGTTACGCAACGACTAAAGGCCGGGGCCATAAGGGAAGAGCCGATAATTGTTGAGTCAGATGACGAGGGGAGAGAGAACGAAGGGGAGCCGACCGTAACCACCCTGGAAAAGATGGAGGATTTGGTAGAGAAAATGAGAAGATACCAGCGAAGACTGAAAGAGCTATGTAATGAAGTCCAAGGGTGGAGAGACGACCTCCCAAAGGTCTTCCTCTATGAGACTGGGCCGGGGCCGACGGCTGGACAACAGAGTAGTCCCGGGGTTGCCGTGCCAGAGACTGGCCCCAGGTCAGGAATGATGTTCAGACCGCCCACCCCACATGGGCGGGCGCCGCAAGCAACTCAAACCAGGAGCCAAAGTAAGGCGGGCCCTAGTCAGCCACCAAGCCAAGCGCCAAGTCAGGCACCTCCACGGAAGAGACCTGAGCCTGAGCGTAGGAAGGAGGTGGTCGAGGTCCAGGAAGACGAGGAAGAGGAAGACGACACGAAAGATGAGAGGCTTCGTCAGGAGGAGGACCAGCGGACGGAGCAAAGAGCCCAGCGGAAGGAGGCTCAAAAGAGAGCTGAGCCAGGCCTACAGGAAGGCGTGCCCAGGAAGAGAAAGTACACCGTCAGGTTGGAGGAGGACTTTAATGTGGAAAGGATGGTGGACCGACTCCTTGAAGGTCATAACGACCTTATGAACTTAAAAGACATTCTGGCGTCCGCACCAAGACTCCGGGAAGAGTTGAAAGAGCGATTGTCTCGAAGGCTAGTGCCCAACGTGCATTTGAGTGATGTCCTGCCCAGGGAAGTGGGATGGACACAAGCTGGAACAAGAATGGACTGGAAGTGTGCGGCATGCGGATTGGTGGATTTGGTGGTAAACGAGAAGAAGTGTGTGGCGATGATGGATACGGGCGCTGAAATGAATATCATTAGGGAACGAGATGCGCTCATGCTTGGGATGGAGATCGACCGTGTATACCACGGCTTGCTGCACGGGGCCAACTGCAAAGCAGTTTTTTGCGGCACCATGTCGAATGTGATCATAGAGATTGGCAAGGTGCGAGCGAGGACGTGTTTTTTTATCATGCCGGACGTGGACCACCCTATTCTTCTGGGCAAGTCGTTCATGTGCAGGACGGAGACCCTAATCTTCAATAAGCACGATGGGACGATGATATTACTTTTGAGCGACCCAGCCTGTGGGAACTATGAGGTTGTCACCTGCCAGAACACGGGGCCAGGAAGCGAGCGGAATAGGCCTAATCCCGGCTCGTTCACTTATGTGGAATCGGAGAACGAGCGGCGGAGGCTCGCGGAGGAGTTCGAGGAGGAAGGTGGGGCGGAGGTACTGTCACTAAGCCTTACGGACGTAAGCAAGGCTATGAAGATTGTGGCAGCACATGAGATGGCGGATCCGGAGGCCATCAAGGCCTTGCGAGAGCATGTGTTGGAGTGCGCACAGGCGGGGGAGGTGGAGCTTATCTATCGCCTTCCAGCAGGGAGAAAAGGGTCTGCGATGGGACAGACGCAAACGACAAACCGGCCTTTTTTAGGGGACGGCTTAAGCAGGGCGCCCAAAGGCGGTACAAAACAATAGATAAAAAGTGCCGCCCTGTTCCCGTGCTCGTTACGGAAGATGAGGAGGCTTATTACGAGCGAGAGCGAGGACTGATACGGCGGATGCAAGAGCAGGCACTGAAAGATCCATGTCGTATCAATGAAGGAAATTAAGAGAAGTTGATAGTCGGGGAGCCAGGCTTTCTTTCGCCCCAGGAAAGGACGTTGATGGTGCAGCTGATGAAGAAGAGGCATCGCGCATACGCCTTTAATGATGACCAGCGAGGGAGGCTGGATGTGGACAAAATCCCTATGATCCGGATCCACACGGTCCCCAACGAGCCTTGGAATCTAAGGGGTGCGCGATACCCAAACCCTGATGAGGAGAAGATGGTGGTGGACTACCTGGATGGCAAGATGCGCATGCATGTTGCCGGTTACTCTAGTGGTCCGTATGCTTCCCCTTGGTTCTGCTTTATTAAGTCGAACGGGATGCTACGGTGGGTACAGGATCTGCAGCGACTAAATGCAGTAACGGTGCAAGATGCGGGAGGCTTGCCAAACGCAGATGCACTATCAGAGTCATGCGTGGGGAGGCCTATAATATCACTTATAGACCTTTATTCCGGGTATGATCAGTTTCCAGTGTACCCGCCCGATAGGCCGGTGATGGCGATGCACACGCCAAGGGGCCTAATCCACATGAATGTGGCCCCTCAGGGTTGGACGAATGCGGTGGCAATGGTGCAAAGGCATATGATAAGGGCCATGCAAACCGTCAGCCCGCACATCACTCAGCCCTACATCGACGACTTGGAGGTCAAAGGCCCGAAGGAGAAAGAGGAGGACGAGGTGCAGCCCGGAGTGAGGCGCTTTGTCTGGAGGCATATCCAGGATCTCGATCGGGTCTTGGGTCTGCTAGAGGAATACAACCTCACTGCAAGTGGGCCAAAATCCAAGCACTGTATGAGAGAAGCTACTATCCTGGGGTTTGTCTGCAACGAGAAGGGTCGGAGGCCGGACGTGAAGAAGACAGACAAAATCCTAGAGTGGCAGGTACCCTTCCAATCCATAACTGATGTAAGGAGCTTTCTTGGCACCTGCGGATTTTGGAGGAGCTTCGTGAAAAACTTCGCCGCCAAGACTGAGCATTTAAGAAAGCTGGTGCGCCAGGACCAGGAGTGGGTTTGGGGCAAAGACCAGGAAGAAGCAGTGACCAGGATGAAAGAAGAGTTTAGGGAAGGAGGTTTGGTGCGCCAAATTATGAGGGGACTGAAGAAAAGTCATTCATCATCGAGACAGACGCCGGGCCAACTGCATTGGGAGGGGTTTTGATCCAGGCGGATGCCGAAGGAAAGGAGAGGCCGCTAAGATTCGAAAGTCGTACTCTTAACACGACTGAGAGGAACTACTCTCAGTTTAAGAAGGAGACGCTTGCGGTACTCCATTGTCTAATTATCTTCTGGAATTATGTCTTCGGCAGGAGATTTATATTGAGGGTGGACCCTACGACGCTGGCCTGCTCTTTGAAGAATTATACACCATCTGACCCAACCGTCGCTCGATGGTTGACGTACATTTGGATGTTTAATTTCGAACTAGAAAGGATCCCAGGAAATAAGAATAGAGTTGATGGCCCGAACCGCGTCAATTGGGACAGTGCGGATCAGGGGTCGACCGAAGACACCCCGCCAGTCGACGGGTTCCTGGATCAAGAAGAAGATGTGCGACTTCATATAAACAAGTGGACGTTGCGAGTACCCAGTTGTGTTAGCCATCCCATATGGATAGCACCAAGAGGATATGAGCAGAAGGCTGACTTAGTCCTTAAGCCATTTCAGGAAGAAGATCTGTGGGGAGGCAAAGACACCTAGTGGATGATGAAGTCAGCACTGGCAGGGACACATGGCTTGGTGGAAAAGGTGAGGATAATAGAGGAAGGGCCTACCCAGATAGAGGAGCATGAGCAGCTGATGGGAGGGATGTACCTGCTCACTAATACGCTCCTGCAAGGAGACTTCGACCGGAGAGGCTCGTTTAGTCATGAGGAGAATGAAATCCTGATTCCGGAAAGCCAGGATGACGAGTTCGAAGAAGGAGAGATTAAGGAGGTATTCCGGGCAGAGGAATACGAAGGGATCTATCTTGAGCTAGGCCTACTTCTATCCTGTGAGATGAGGGACAGGGATGCTAGCGACAAGGCGCAGAAGATGAGGCACCTCTACGTGGTGAGAGATGGACATCTGTTTATAAAGCGGCAAGTTGGGAACCCCAAGCGGATTGTGTGTGAGAGGAACCGACAGTTAGACATCATAGCAGCATTACATGATGGTATAGTAGGAGGGCACAGAGGGATAAGTGCCACATGCACGAAGATAAGTGAGCTATACCACTGGGATGGAATGTTGACCATGGTCATCAAATACTGCCAAGCTTGTGTCCCGTGTCAAGAGAGGTCAGCGCAAAGGCTAGGAGAGCCCCTGCACCCAAGGCTGGAAAGGGAGGTGGGTGCGGTTGTACACCTGGACCTATTGTTTATGCCAGTTGGGGAAAATAGGTGCAATTATATCTTCGATGCTCGGGATAACCTCACTGGGTTTGTGGATGGTCGGGCTATCCGAACGAAGACTGGGCCAGTTTTGGCAAACTGCATCGAGGAGTATGACCTGCGCTATCCTTTCGTCAAGGAATTCGTGATGGATCGGGGATCAAAATTTACCTGCAATGAGGTGCGGACCCTGCTTGCTGGGTATGGGGTAGTGACCAACTATACTACGGCCGCGCACCCTCAAGCAAATGCTCCTGTGGAGAGGGGGCACAGTACCATCACGAATCTCTTGGTTAAATGGACGGAGGGCAAGCCTGGTCAGTGGCCGAAATTCCTGCGAGGGGCTTTTTTCGTGGAGAATATTACTGTGAAGAGGATTACCAAGTATGCGTCAGCCACGCTATGGTATGGGAGGCACGCCACCTTTCCTATCGAAAGCTTTATGAAGACGTGGAGGCGCTAGGACTTGGAAGTAAACCTGTCCTTTGAAGAATTGCTCGATATCCGAGCACGGCAAGTGGAACGGCCGAAGAAAGATTGCGAGAGGCCGCCGATCAGGTAGAGAGAAGCCGCATGGAGGATAAGATGAGGTGGGATTAAATGGCCCGGGTGTGGAAAGAGCCCTTGGCAGTGGGAGATAGTGTACTACTATACGACTCATCCTTGAAAAAGCAGTGGTTGAGAAAACTTGACAAAAGATGGTTGGGGCCCTACAGGATTGTGCGGTGTGGCGAATTCGGGGCATACCAGATTGAAGAGCTAAATGGCACGGAATGGAAAGATTGAGTATCCGGGACAAGGCTAAAGAAGTTCGTGGCCAGAGAATAGGTTCTGGCTTTGATTGGTTCGGTAGTCGTTCGAGGTAATTGGCTCGCTGGCCATTGCCGGCTCATCCAAGAAATCGGATCCTGATTGACCGTTTTTTTTATTAATATTATTATTTCGAAAAAACACAGCCACTGCTCTGTACTCTGATCGAGATTGGAATGGGCTTCTTGATTGGACCATTTTTTTTATTATTTCGGAAAAACAAAGCAACTGCTCTACGCTCCGATTGAGATTGGAATGAACCCCTGATCGAGTAATTATTGATTTCATTCTTGATGATTGAACCGCTGCTCTCATGCGTATCGAGACGCTGATCGGACCAGGAGGGGGAAATCTTAGCCCTTCCCACAGGTAAGTTTCGTCTCCATTTATTCTCGTTGCTTCTTAAATCAGCCGTGCGAGGCTCTAGTCAGACTTTCGTTCGACTTTTGTGTGTGTGTGTGTGTGTGTGTGTGTGTGTGTGTGTGTGTGTGTGTGAGAGAGAGAGAGAGAGAGAGAGAGAGAGAGAGAGAGAGAGAG